ACGGCAACATGGAATCTATTTGTTAAGCTGATAAGCACATTTGGTTTTTACAGATCTATTGAACTTCAATAGAATTGTGCTTGAACACTAATGCAAATGCTGCAATCTGATTGGCTAAGTGATTGTACACTACCGTAGATCACAGAAGACGTCAAAATCTGGTGCGAACATCAGTGACACACTCGGCTATCGCCTCGTGTGCCACTGTTTTGTTCTTACCTCATTTTGACGTTATCTGTGGTCTATTACTGAACAGACGCACAGCAACATTGAAGCTATTTGTTAAGTACTACGACAAGAGATTCTTACGGTGAACGATACAGGGCGTTAGCATCATCCTTGAAGGAGTCCTAAGAGAATAAAATAACAAAACAACACACATTTGTATTTATTTTACCAATCTAATTGCAACATGTGCCCTTACTCTCATTTATATCTCTAGTTCATTTTTGTAATCTTTATCGATAACTAGGCCACTTCCGAGTTGGCTTTTGCCTCGGTGTCAAACCGAGTCTTCGTGTGAAACCATTCATATGGAAATGTGTTTCGCCTATGGGTTCATTTTCATGCAAATCAAACTCATTTTCATATGAAAGGTTTTGCACTAAGACTCGTTTTGAAACAGAGGCACAAGGTAGCTACAGTTGTATTTCTCACAATCGCCTGCTGTCATTATTTTCATTTAATTCTACTAATTATAAAAAAGTCGTAAATGATCATTTGAGCCACATCAGTAAATTTCTCAGCTTGACTCATTAAGACCGTGTGGCTGCATTGTGGTTGACCAATGTAGTTTTCGGAACTGATACCACCTGCGAAAAAATGTTACAGTGAAAACTTCCACCCCAGAAAGAATTTTTGTTTATATACATCTTACTTGTCTCTCCTTTGCCCCGGATTCGGTGACTTCTGATTCATGTGCGCTGTAAACATCACATATATTCTGAATGAAAACAGTTAAGTCTGAATAACATCATCGTGGTACCGTATGTATAAAACAAATAGGCAAAACTAGTGTAAACATCCTTGTTCTCGTGCTTCCGTTTACGCTTGTACAAAAGTGTTAACCACACTACGTACGTTACGAAACACATTAGATAAAACATTACGGAACTAACCTGGACCCTTTGGCGGCAGTCTTCCTCGTTACCAGGCACAATAGCCAATGTATGAACAAAGTGGTCAGCGGGATTAAAATTGTCAGGACAAGGGTAGCCCAAACTATTCATTTTTAAAGGAAGATTTGGTTAGAAAAATTTCATGGTAAAAATCCATAGGCCCGGAAAGAAGCATAAGCAGCGCATAAGCTTAAGAAACATACAGGAAATACGAAGACGTAGTAAGATGTTGATAATTATTAGCGCCTTTTGCTGGGACACTTTTCTTACAAAAGGAAACACTTAACAAAGTATCTTCAGTAATGCTTGTGGATAAGCCCCCTCAACGATTGGTAGGTAAACTGAATGGAACAAGCGTGTTGAAAAATTTGAAACTTTACAACTTTGAGACCATCAGCGATGTGCAGGAGTAAATTTTATGGAGAAATCGATCGAATATTTGGATAAAAAATTGTTGGATGACAAACCTTGCAGACTCAGCAACGTTTAACATTGCTATGTTGACTAGGTTGGAAAAGGAGCGCAGACAAAAGGAGTGGGTCAGCTGAGCCGAAGCTAGGGGCTTGGTACGAGAGGCCTGGTTGGAAAGCGAGAGTTGGAGCCTTATGTACATGTACCTCCTAGTCTGGCGCGGAGAGAACTAACTAACTAATGACTAAGTTTTGGCGTGACTGAGTTCCGCCACACCGTCCCACAATGTCAGCCAAAAAATACGTGTGCACACTTACCTGTCAAAATACTGGATGGCATCACTTCTGGAACCCATGTAAGCTGTCCTTCCTTCGGCTAACAACAGGATACTAGGTAGAGAAAACTCACTCTCTTTCATCGGCATAACTGACACTCGAACATATAAATATTTACGGTTAAGTAGAAGAAAAACAGCTTCGACACTTTGGGTATCTCATTTGATTTTTCGTCTCCAAGGTTTTACCTGTCAAACATGGCGTACACTTCAGACGAAGGCTGATGAATGGTGCAAATGATGGTCCTTCCTTGAGCTGCTAACTGTTGCAGTGCTGTAACTAAACTCTGAGCCATGAATGAGTCAAGACCAGATGTTGGTTCATCAGCAAACAACAATGGAGGATCTGTGATGACCTGATGAATAATGGAGAACGGAAAAGTTTTTACGTATGCACAATAGCATCTTCATGAAAAGCAGTTGTTTTTTTTTTTAATTTTTATTGTAAGTAGGCAGATAGGTAGATGGTCCAGTAACTTCGTTGACCGATGGAAAAACCGTGTATAAATAAAGTTATCTTATCTTTTCTAATCTTATTTTTGAGATGTAGCTCATACTATGGTATATTATAATCCATCAAATGTTTTCGCTCGCGCGTGATTGTTCTAAAGGCGTCACGTGACTGAATATGCACCAGCTAAAACTGGGGAATATCTGAGTGATATTCCCCAAGTTTCAAAACGGCGCGTGTTGCGAAAAATATTTGAAGGATAACAAACACAATAGCCTCTATTTGGCGTGAAAATCTGCTCGGATATTTTTTCTTGGACATTATCTGTTCCTCAAAGTTCACAGTTTTCCTCGAGCTACGTTCTCGGAAAATTGTTCGCTTCCCGGAACAGATGATAACTTCAGACAAATATCCGAGCATATTTTCGCGCCAAACGGAGGCTGTTGTTAATTTGTACAAACGTATTCTTACCTCAGAAGCAAATGACAGTCTCTTCTTTTCTCCTCCCGAGATGCCACGCAACCGTCCTGGTATTCCTATGTATGTGTCGGCGCACTTGGTCAGGCCAAGCTTTAAGAGAAATAAGATTCCCTTTGTGAGCCAATAACAGCAACAGAAACAAAACAACAACAGAAAATGTGGTTATTCCATGCACCATACCTGCAGTATTACCTCCTCGACACGAGCTATCCGCAGGTCATCAGGAACGTGTTTATCCATGCGCAAGAAAGCCTTAAAAAGTCCAAATCAAAAGTATTTATGGCATAAATAACACTGAAATAAAAACTTTATTGGTTAATTTGACCCAATTAAAAGATGTAAAATGCATGAAATTACTTTTAAATAATTTCCTTTGTAAATAATGGAAAGGAGTCAACTGCATACCACATGTTTAATAATGTAATTGTTAAGAACAGGGAAACCATTTGATTTACAGGCGGTCAAGTTAAAACAGTCGTACCATTTGAATTCTGACCGCAATTTCCAGAATTTCTGCGAAAATTCAAACAACCCAAGACTAAAGCAATTTCAACGCCGACGGCGCTACCAATATGCAAAACATAACGAACTATTAAAACGGTGAAACATATAATCTGCACTGGTGCATACAAAGCACGGGAAAACTTGTCTGACCCCGTCGGATCTTCGGATTCGGCAGGGTTTGGGTTTTTTCATCTGATTGGTCTAGAGGGCGACACAAGTTCTTTTTCAACCAATCATAGAGCTTAGTAAAAGAAACAAAGATAGTATTATATACATTCATTCATTCATGCCTCTTACGGGACCGTCAGACTAACCGAGTTTGAGGTCTGCACTGTAAGTTACAGATAGAGTTTCGTTTTCTGTTCGATTTATGGCCCAAGTGTGAAGCACGAGGGCCAACAATCGAAGCGGGCAAAATGAGGATCCGCAACTTACAGGTCGGACCGAGAAGACGAGGAGTAAGTCAGTATTTCTCTACTGTGTGTCTGAAGGGCTCGGGAAACCATTTCAAGTAATGAACGGTTGAGTTAGTTGAATTAGCCAATCAAAAGCCCCATTAGTAACTAAGACATATAATAGTGTCAGTTACTGCCGAATTCAGTAAGAACAAAATAGAGGGAGCACTGAAACACTGAGGGTAACTAAGAAATGGTATAGGTTTAACTGGCTTGCTCTCCATCATTCACCCTGCCCAAGACTTCTTCACCCACCTGAAACACCAAGTGTTCCCGAACAGTGAGTGATCCAACAAAGAGATCTTCCTGTTGAATGTATGCAGAGATTGATGTGATCCCTGTTCCAATCGGATGATCGTTCACCTCTACAGTTCCTGTTACTTCCAATTTACTGATGTTACGATGAGCTAGTACATTCATCAGAGTGGTTTTACCAGCTCCGCTG